TTACTCAGCTCGGCAATATTAGTGGGATACAGGTTGGGATATATAGTTACACATATATCCAAAATACACATGTCTACAGAGTAACAAGCTTGGGAGCTTTTAAGCTCGACTACGTGTTGTTGGTCGTTTGTTGCGCGAGGAAAGAGCTTTACTTCTATTTTTCGCTTTTTGTATTTTACAGTCTCACTTATTTCATAGCACCCCGTAGTAAATTTGTTTTTTTTTTTAATTAAGTTGTCTTTTTCTTGTTCGTCGGGTATATCTGAAAGTGCTAAGTTAATTTTAAATTCAAACGTTATCTGTATTAACTGATTAAAACTATCGAAATTCCTTTAATGAATTTAGAAAAGTATTATTTAAATTCATAAACGGATTATATTATCAGGAATTTCAGAAAATTCATACTTCTTAGTTTAGAGGCATCATCTATTTGTACAACACCGTTATTAACACCTATAAATACAGCCTTTAAGAGTATACGTCCCACTCCTGGGCACAGGCCTCCTTTCGTTTTTGAGAGGGTTTTAGAGCAAGGTAATGTCCACCGCGCTGCCCTAATGATTGTTGGCGGACATCACATGTCTTCGAAATATAAATTTGTCAGACATGCAGGTGTCCTCCCGATGTTTTCCTTCACCACCGAGCACGTAAATCAGCACTTAAAACTGCAATTAACATTTTCATATATGTTGGCGGGGATTGAACCCGGGTTGCTCTCGTACTGTGAAATTTGCGACAGGCGCTTAGTCCTTAACTAACTAGCTAACACCTTAGGATAATTAATATTGCGACCTGTGGTGGAGGAATACAAAACCTCTTTTGGTTGCGTGAGTGACGTATGGGGGCTATGGATAAGTCAGAAAGATCTTAAGGCTTTTTATAGATTAAATATAGACGGCGTTAAAAGCAATTCATTAATGTCAGACATTAGTAAGGTAATGATTAAGACAAACCTTCCCTACAACAGATGAGGGCCATGATACACTATATGTTGCTAGTTGGTAAGACTTAGGACTTTCTGCCTAGGAGTCTTTCTGGGTAGGCACAAACCTCTTACCTATTTCTGTCGCCAAGCAGCAGTGCGTACACTGCTGCGTTGCGATCTGAAGGTGTAGAGAGCCAGTGTAATTGTAGGCTGAGGATATTCCAGCTTAGTCCTCAGAGGTGACAACTTATCTGCAGCCTTCTTTGTGTGAAATTGGTTGCAGATGTTCATGGACTGCAGTAGTCACTTACCAATTCGTCATTTGTCACTTCAGTTTTTACCATCATCATCATCATTGCAGCCCTTCACTAGTTCACTCCTGAACATATACCTTACCCTATGAATGCCACAAAGCACGCTCCTAAACCACCTGTATCCATCTACTTCCTTTATATCTTACAAAGTCGTCACTCCGTCTCCATCATATGTTACTTTAGTTTTATAAAAAAATAATTAACTATTGGCCAGAAATTGAAGAATACAATGAATTCAAAGGTAAGGCTACTTTATTAATACAGTCTAAGTTGCCAGAAATTTTAATGCAAAATGATCTACTTAGGCACACAGCAGGTGCCCTAAGTACCGCCTAAATTGCTTCCCGAGGAAACCACTTTATCAAATCTGATATTATATTAAATTAAACAAGGCCATAAACAAAATTTCAGATCTTTGCCACGACTGAAAATTTTCATGAATAACGAATATAAATGAGATAAGGTAATATCATGTTTCGCAAAAAAGCTTTCTTAGTAAAAGTTTAATTAAATAGAGAGACGTATATAGAACGAAGATATGTTAAGGGAGAAACAGCTCGTGTGATTATAAATAGATGCTACAGCCTACTGACATCTATATTTATCCTTGATTAAGAATCGCAACGCAAATGATGTGTTCAGCGGACTACGTTGTTTCTCGTTTACAGTAAAGGTTTTCCGGTTCTTGTCAGATGCCATAAGAAAAGCAGTAGTATTATACTGCTATTTCAAGATACCCAGAGATGCAATGTCTTTTCGCTAGTCAAGGCGATCGGAAAGAACTTGGTCGTCGACGATTCGGGCTGGTATTTTAACAGTTAACTAGCTTAGAGCTGCAAAAAAAAATAAAATGATGTGGATTGTCTCCGTCACTACTAATCCCAATACCATTACTCCCAATACCACCACCACATTAGGGAAGGCAAACCACCGTCGATAATACACTTTTTTATACGTGGTAGAGCCATGCTGCAGCTATATTAGTAGTGTAGTTGTAGCACGAATGGGTCGGCACGACCGGAGAAGACTACGCTCTCGCAGAATAGCAGCATAAAATAGCAACTTTAGGCTGCTGTGTTTGGTATGTAAGTACTAATAACAAAAATATAATTTTTAAAGTTTTTGTTTTTCTGCTACTAACACAACATTACGGTGTAAAAAATTTGGCGCTTAAACTTATTACTTCATATTTAAGTAACAGAACTCAAAAAGTCGTCATTAATGGTAAATGTTCCTCCGGATCGGTAGTATGAATGGGCGTTCCTCAGGGCTCGATTCTTGGCCCATTCCTGTTCTTAATCTATATTAATGACTTACCTTATCTTGTAGGGGACAATCACGATATAGTATTATTTGCTGACGATACCTCTTTAATTTTCAAACTGAAACGGCAGTCAATTAAATATGACGATGTAAATAATGCTCTATCGAAACTAGTACATTGGTTTAACGCCAACAATTTGCTCTTAAACGGCAATAAGACAAAATGTATTAAATTTACAATACCTAATGTAAAACATTCGAAAACCAATTTGCTCTTAAATGGGGAGGAGTTGAGTCTTGTGGATACCACTGTTTTTCTCGGTATTACTATTGACGCGAAACTTCAATGGGGCCCCCATATATCTAAATTAGCAAGCAGACTTAGTTCTGCAGCATATGCTGTAAGAAAGATTAGAAGTCTCACAGATGTTGAGACAGCTAGGTTAGTGTATTTTAGTTACTTTCATAGCGTAATGTCTTATGGAATTTTGCTATGGGGTAATGCGACTGATATTGAAGCTATATTTGTTTTGCAAAAGAGAGCCGTACGGGCGATTTATAATCTAAATTGTAAAGAGTCCCTTAGAGAAAAATTTAAAGAAATAAACATATTAACTTTGGCATCGCAATATATTTATGAAAATGTAATGTATGTACATAAAAACATAAATAGCTTTAATAAGAATAAGGATCTTCATACCTTAAACACTAGGAACAAACATAAGCTTGTAATGCCACTTACAAGACTCCACAGAATTAGTAATTCATTTATGGGGCAATGTATACGCTTTTACAACAGAATCCCAGAACATGTTCAAAGTTTGTCAATAAACAAGTTTAAAAGTTTTATTAAAGAAAAACTGTACAAAAAGGGTTATTATAATATCAAGGAATACATGAATGAAAATAACCCCTGGGAATAAGGTGATCGCCACCATGCTGGTTCTATGAAAATTCATTTAAAATTGTATAAACAAAATTATTGTTAAGTGAAATTATGTTTAAAAAAAAGTCCCGCTGGGTTTCTTGCTGGTTCTTCCCAGGACAGAGGTATTTTCCGAACCAGTGGTAAATAAAATAATGACTTTCAATAAGTATTATGTAATAATCCATATTGAATAAAAATCATTCTATTCTATTCTATTCTATTCTATTCTATTCAGTCTGTCCGTCTGTCTGTCTGTTTGTTCCGTCTAATCTCCGAAAAGGCTGGACCGATTTTGACGGGATTTTAACTGGCAGATAGCTGATGTTACAAGGAGTAATTTAGGCTACTTTTATTTAAGAAAAAGAATTAGGGTTCCGCGCAAAAAAATTAAAACCCCAAATAACACGCGGGCGAATTTGCGGGGAACAGCTAGTCTCAAATATATTTAAAATGAGGATCCTTCGAACTGGTTATACATGTCATGTAGTGGTGGCTGAGAGAATCTACTAAGCCATATCAGAGGCGATAGAAAGAAATGACACAGGAAAAGGCAGCAGCATCTTCCTGATAACAGTTCAAAGCGCGGAAACTATGGAAAATAAATTCCTCGTGTGGTTTATATGGCGGTCTAAGTTCAGCTTCGGACTTTTGCTAGGTTGTTGTTTGTGTTAAATATAATACATAAACAAAAAATATTTTTAACATGCTTCTATTAGAAGAATAATCTTTAAATTCTGGAAGTGAAATGAGCAAAGTATGCATGATAAAAAGTTAAGCCGACCGTCAAATCCAAGGTATATAAAGCTCCTTGAGATTCAGCCGCTTTGTAATAAATAAGCACTCGCGTTATTATACTACTTGCGTATAACATTACATTAATGTTAATGTTGATTGACTTGTGGAGGTGTAAGAATATCCACTATTTTTTACCGTCCTGTAGGTGACGTAAGAAGCGACAGATGAAACATTTTTTTTTTGTAATTACATCTACTCTCTACCAACCGCGGCAACTATATGTAAGGCAAATCGCTCCTATGATGCAATCCATAGAGGAGGTCTATGTTCAACTTTAGACTTTTAATATGCTGTAACGGTAACGGTTACGGTAGCTTTAATGTTAAATAATTGTTTGCAAACGATATAAAAATATTTAATAAGACAACCAAAACAATCACACCTCCCCCAAGCCGGCTGGTCCCCGTGGGGGATATCGACCAATCCCTTCCAGCTCCAACAATAGTAAATAACAGGAGCACCAAAATACTAACACCACAAGAAATTAGAAAACTCTATATTTCCACTTTAAACTGCCTAACACTGAGAATCTCAAAAATAAAGTGGGACATATTGGGTTTAAGTGAAGTTAGAAGACTGGGTGAAAGCATTGTGGATCGAAAGGACTACATTCTGTACTACAAAGGGGAAACAAAAGGAAGTTATGGTGTTGGCTTCATGGTTAAAAAACATTTACAAAGAAACATAGACGAATTCATTGGTATATCGGAAAGAATAGCTGTACTTAATATGCATTTACCAGGCTACAAGCACAAATGGTCAGTTGTTCAAGTATATGCTCCCACTGAACAACAAGACGAACGGGTTAAATACCTTCTATAGCCAATTGTCTTCAGCTTTACAAGACACACAAAAAAACGTTTTAGTTATAGGAGATTTTAATGGTAGAATAGGCTCTCAACAAATTGGTGAAGAAAATGTAGTAGGCAAATTCGGTTTTGGTAGAAGAAGTAAAAACGGAAAAAGGATGATTAAAATGGCGTTGGAAAACAATCTTGCATTCATGAATAATTTTTTCAAAAAAGATCCAAGGAAAAATTGGACCTGGTTATCTACAGATGGTTCATACAGAAATAAAATAGATTACATAGCAACTAACAACAGAAAAGTTTTTCAAGATGTAAGCATTCTAAGCCAATTTAATTTTAACACCAACCACCGCATGGTGAGAGCAGTAATAAATAGTGTAGAACCGAAGAAAAGTAGAAACAAATTTAACGTAAAAATCAACATTACAAAAACACCACGTTTAGTGAACAAACCAAAAAATGAAGCAGAAGAAAAATGTAAAAATGTAATAAATGAAATTTTTGGTCCACTATTCAAGAAATTCTCAAAACCCAAGAAAACTCACACCGAAAACGAAACTAAAAGATTAATAGAAGAAAGAAAACTACTCTTAAAACTCGGAATAGACAAACAAAACCTAAGGGCCATTGCAGAATTAAGTAAAAAATTAAGCAATAGCATCAAAAAGGATAGAACCAAAAAAAGAACCAACGTACTCAACTACTATATAAAAAAGACAGGAGGAATCAAAAAAGCATTAAAAGAAATAGTGGAGAAGAAAACATGGATAACAAACTTCTATAGACTTCTATAGAAACTTTATGCAGCAGAACAAAATATCCCAGATTTAACTATAAATCTCGATGACAGTGACGACGGGGAAGACATACCAGTTTTTCTACAATCAGAAATAGAAAAATTAGGAATGTCTAGAACAGGTAAATGAAATTGTATACTTGGGGAGTGCTTTTAGCCGGGATGGAAGATGTGATTTAGATGTGGACAGGCGTGTCGCTGCCAGGAACAAAGTCAATGGTGCCCTGACTGCGTTAGTCAAAAGGCAAGGCGTAGCGAAGAGTGCACGCCTTGCAATACATAACGCAGTGTTGGTACCGACTTTGTTATATGGCAGCGAAACCTGGGTATGCCAGAAGAAGCATAAAAGTAAGTTGAATGCAGTGGAGATGCGATCTCTTCGTAAAATGTGCGGCGTTACCATGGCCGACCGAAAGCGAAACGAAGAGATTCGCAATATGGCAGGTTTGAAAGATGACCTTATCACAAAAATTGATGAGGGCGTGCTTCGGTGGTTCGGGCACATTGAGCGAATGAGTGAAGACCGAATTGTGAAGAAAATATATAGCGCGAAAGTTAATATTAAAAGGTGTCGAGGTAGACCGAGACTAACTTTCGAAGACCATGTGAGCAAATTGCTCGAAGAGGGTAGGGTCAAAAGTACTCGGATACCTAGACGTGCATGCATGAAGAAGATAATGAATCTGAAAGAAGCGAAAGAGGTTTGTAAGGATCGTGACACTTGGCGATCTGTTCTCTCTGGCTACCCCGTCATGGATTGTGCGTGAAGATAAGTAAGTAAGTAAGTAAGTAAGAAATAGAAAAAGCTGTCAACAGTCAAAGGAACGATAAGGCACCCGGACCAGATCAGATTACAAACGAAATGATTAAAACTTCAGTTATTTTACCGGAAAAGCTAAGAAAACTCAAAGAAATATACAACTCTATCTTAAGCACGGAATGTATACCCTGTCAATGGACCAAGAGCACAATCATATTATTACACAAAAAAGGCGATAGGACCATAATTGAAAACTACAGGCCTATAAGCCTCATGTGGAATATTTAAAAAGTGTTCTCTAAATTGATTTTAAACAGAATAACAGGGATAATGGACGAACAACAACCTATAGAACAAGCTGGTTTCAGAGCGGGGTTTTCAAATCACGTCATGAAACAGCTAATAGAAAAATGCCAAGAATACAGTTAAGCCTTGTACGCCGCATTTGTGGACTATAGTAAAGCATTTGATTCATTTAAACATGAATCGCTTTGGAGGGCACTAATCCAGCAAGGAGTACCAAAAATATATATACGTACAATTAAAAATATATAGGTAAATAACATAGCGCAAATAAAACTAGAAAAAGTCGGCGATGAGTTCCCAATAGCTAGAGGGGTGAGGCAAGGAGATCCGCTATTCCCAAAACTTTTCTCTGCAATCTTGGAAAGCATATTCAGGGATCTCGAGTGGGACAATTTTGGCAGCAATATTAACGGCAAGCAGCTTAATCATTTAAGATTCGCTGATGATATATTCCTCATAACTGACAACGCTAATATGCTCCAACAGTTGACGAAAGCAAGCAGAGTAGTTGGTCTTACTATGAATAAATCAAAAACAAAAGTAATGACAAACAGGGAAGAAATAGCCATAAAAATAGATAATGAAGATATTGAGTATGTTAAAAGCTATACATACTTAGGGCAATTATTATCATTTAGAGATCAGACAGACATAGAAATAGAAAGAAGAGTGGCTTGCGCTTGGAAAAGATACTGGTCTCTTAAAGAGATATTTAAAAGTAAATAATTTCCTATGGCAGCCAAGAAAAAAGTGTTCAACTCGGGTATCTTACCAAGTCTTACATATGGATGCCAAACTTGGGCGTTAAATCAGAAACATCTTCTTAAACTGAGAACATGTCAAAGGGGAATTGAAAGAAGTATGTTGGGCGTAACGCTAAAAGACCGCAAAAGAGCAGAAGATATTAGATCTAGTACAAAGGTCTAAGACATAATAAAGAAAATTAGACAGTTGAAATGGCGATGGACAGGACACATGACAATAGACAGCAGGGTAAAATGGACAAAAATAATAACCTAATGGCAACCCCGTGATGGCAAAAAGAAAAAGAGGCAGACAAGCAAAAAGATGGACAGATCATATCAAGATTATTGGAGGGACAATCTGGCCAAGAAAAGCTAACAACAGAGAAGAGTGGAAAAAGCTGGAAGAAGCCTATGTGTCACAGGTCACGCTGACTACTAAACTGGGTAATACGATATTCTAGACTATTATGAAGTTAAAACAATCAATGTTAAAATAATTTATATTGTTTGGTATCAGCAATTAAGGCTTAATAAAAAAAATGTTTTATGAGACATTCGTAGAATACAAAAAAAAGTTCAACTTTGTCACTTTGCTTGTTAAGTATAACCCAGCATAACGCAATTATAATTGAACCATACCATGATACGTTAAACTCACAATAATAATAATGTCCTCCAGATCGTATTTCGTATACTGTGTTTCGTATGGTGAGTGTAGAGAACCGGAGTCTTTTTATTGGAAACGAGGTATTCCATGTCAGTTCTCAGGGGTGACAACGCATCTGCATTTTGATTGTTCATCATCATCATCATTACAGCCCTTCACAAGTCCACTGCTGAACATAGGCCGCCCCCAAAGAATGGCACAAAGCACGGTCCTGAGCCACCTGCATCCATCGACTTCTTGCATATCTTACCAGGTCGTCACTCCATCTAGTGGGGGGACGCCCTACACTTCGCCTGCCGGTACGAGGCTGCCACTCGAGAACTTTTCTTCCCCATTTTGATTGTTAATTGAAGATAAATGTAGATGTCTATGAGCAATATCAGGTGAACTATATGCTCGTTTGTCACCCTTACTCTATAAAAAAAAAACTTAACAAAGAAGACTGCTAATGCGTTTTCATTTCTGAGGATTAAGATTTATTTTATTTATTTTTTTATTATAAAAACAGTAACAGCATCCCAACGGTTTAAGGCCAAGACAATGCTATACAAAGTAAAAATGTCCTCACAGTCTGCAATTATGCTGGTTGATATATCTTTCAGAAACGAACACGGTAGTGTCTGCGCAAATAAGCATGAAACGGATTCCTAGGCAGAAGAGGTCCTATCACCTACACTTTATATTAGGTTTTCTAATAAAGTTCAATATGAGTTAAATCAATCTTTAGAATCTTTTCGATTGTTATGATGTTCGTCTACCCTAATAGATATAAGGTTGAATTCTTTTTTTTTATTACCCTAAAGTGACAAAAGAACTTTTAGTCTACATGAAGGTAAGTGGCTACTGTAGTGCATTGACACCTGCAACTAACTTCAAGCCAAGCAGGTTAGAGATGTGTTATCACCTCTGAGGAATAAGTTGGTTTGCCTCACAGCATTGTACTGGTTCTCCATACCCTGCAGAGCGGGGAGCAGCAGCGCAAGTACTGCTAGTTGGTATCAGAAATAGGTAAGAGAGTGCTCTCCACTCAGATGGTCTCCTACGCAAAGGAGTTCTACCACCTTGATATTTGGAATGAGAATTGTTATAGAAGTTTGTTTATGTATTTTAAATGGTTAGTTAATAGAGCAATAGCTCTTTATACAAATATTTAAAAAATCTACAATTGATCATTATTTTTTGTTAAATCTTATGTAATATTTTTCCGACTTTTCTTTAATTAAATTTTTTTTGAGCACTAAATACTACGATGAATAGCATCAAATGGATCAATTTGGATATATTATTCATTTCTCGCTATCAGGAGCAATAAGCGTTTTCTTGAAATTTAATCAAGGAAACCGTATAATAAGATAAAAATATAAATAAATGAAATCGCTATCTATTTAAGTCCACCTTAGGTTAGGTAGTGAAGGAAAATATGTGTGGTGGTGTTATTCCCACCTCCAAAACCTTCTTAATTCACATTTTTATTTTAGGCGAGGCAGACGTGTTTAGTTAAATTGATTGCTCACTTTATTCTTCCAAAAATACGAGCGATTCTTTTCTTTATGAATAATTCATTATGTAAAGAGGTTTTTAGCTTAAGATCATTTTTATATATAATTATAATATATTACGTTTATTATTCATTATCTTTGCTCTTTAAATCAACATTACTTTTGTACTATATCTTATTTCGTATTTATTGCTATATCTTATATTCGTTTTTACGTGGTATGCCCACGGTACAGCTACTCAGTTCAACCGGGGAAGGACCACGCTCTCGTAGAATACCAGTGTGAAATAGTAGCTTAAGTAAATAAGCCGTGTTTCGTATGGTGAGTGTAGAGAACCGGAGACTCATTTTAACTGGAAACGAGACATTCCATCCTAGTCCTCAGAACGTGCAAACGCATCCGCAGCCTTCTTTGTTTGAAGTTGGCCGCGGGTGTCCAGGACTGCAGCAGCAGTACCATGAGGTGGAATGTAAATTCGTTTGTTACTCCAGTTTAATTAAAACATACAGACATACTGTCATGAAACTTCACCATACAGCAACAACCATGAAAACAACAAATTAAAAAGTAAAGTTAACAAATTCCCCAAGTAAATTAATTAATCCGTTGAGCAATGAATATAAACTCAGTTTGTTTTCCGTTTGTTAGTCATTAAATGCGTAAAGTTATTAAGAAAAGTTTGCGTTTTGTTTCTTAGATTTGTAATTAATAAGTTTTATTAAATGATTTATTTTGAAATAAAGGTTTGTAATTTATTAATGTAATGTTTAAAACTCTGAGTACCATGTAGTGGCAGTTTAAGAATATATACTGCCCTATATCATCCCGTGGGTGTCGTAGGTTGCGACAAGGGAAGACAAATAACGAGAGTGGCAGTAGCGTCTTCCTAATAAAGACTAAAATAAACCATAAAAACTGCGTTTGCCAACCCGCTTGCCAAGCGTGGCAATTATGGCAAATGTTCAGCAGTAGACTTTAATAGGCTGTACCACACAACACTTTTTATAACATGGCCTCGCA